GTTGATATCAAATGCAAAAACTTTGCTAATGCAGCAGCCATACGAACAGTCAGCCAGCCAGCCAGCCAACCAACCAGCCAGCTAGCCAGCCAGCCAACAAGTTTGATGGCTCTCGCAAAAGTCAATCGCAACGGCAAATGCGTTTCTGATATCAAACATGGAATGGACTGTGTTTCAGCTCCATCTGCATATCCCTTTCTTATTCCGATTCCGAAAACTAGAAAGTTGCAATTAAAAAGTTCCCTGGATCCGTTTTACAAGCGCATTAATTCTGGGCAACGCATAACTAATGATTTAATTTGTTCTCTACGCTGATGTCCTCTGTTCTGCTCTGTTCTGTTCTGCTCGGTTCTGCTCTGCTACTGTGTGTGTGCCGTGCCGCCTGTGCCTCGTTCTGGGCCTCGGGCTGAATCCTGGGCCTGTTTTGCCATCATTAGCAACTTAAAAATGATTATTTGCAATGCAAATTCTTGTGCTACTGCTACTGCTGCCCACCCTCCCCACTCCCATGGGCACCGGTCTGGAGAATATGAAATGCTTGCCATCTGCATGAGAAATGCAGCAATTATGCCGGATTTAGAGCAAAAGAACATGGACTGTCAGAGAAAAGAGTTAAGAGATGAGTCTTTAAGTTGGATTGAAAATAAATATGAACTTCAGAGATATCCTGCAGCAAAGAATGCTGGCAATTAACGTAAGCTCTGAAAAATTTGAATGCCACACAAAGGAAAATAGTTATATACGTGCATATAAATAAACAGTGCAAATTCAGATATCTCATGCAACATATGAATGAATGTATTCATATGCCAGAGGCTGGGGCTGGGGCTGTGGCTGGTACAGCTCAACCCCACTCGAGGTGCTAAACATTCGCACACTTTCGGTGGCAAGAACCTCTCCCAAAAGATCTCAAGCAGAACTTTTTCTATAAACGTAATAATGACCTGAGCATAATAGACAGCAACTAGACGCAATACACACAAAAATTGAAATACAGCTCCCACTTCGCACATTTTGGGGCAAAATGGAGGCTCTGGGACTGAGACCGACACTGGAATCTGGGGTGTTGTGGCAACTGGCAGCTGGGAGACTGGGAGTGCCACAGTTGTAGCATTTTCCACTGCCTACAACGCGGCGAGGCGGCCATAATGTCATTTAATTAAACGCCAGAGAGCAGTTGCCGGGGCCTCCTGACTGTTGTTTGCCGTGCGCTCACTCGCTCGCTCGCTCTCGCTCTCTCTCTCGGTGTGTAACAGTATTTTTTTCGGTTACTTGTGCGCGGGGTCAACGGCGGCTAAACGGTTAACCAAAGTTAGCGGGAAGCTAGCGCTCCACAGCCACATAATTTGGCCAGAAGGCAGAACTGAGAGAAGCCAGGGGACATGGACGAGGATGAGGACGAGAACAAGGACGAGGAGGAAGAGGAGCAATTTATGTTCATTTGCATAGATATTAAAAATTGTTAGGAAGTCATTAGTAGGCATCAGTCAAATGACGCAGCCTGCATATAAATTAAGCATAATTTTATTAGGAGAACTCCACTGGAAGGTCACCGTCACCCCACTTGACAAATGTCGTGGAGAGGCATACCCCCACCGCTATACCCTATGCCCAAACTGAAGGATAGCAGCGGCAGGAAGACAGAAACGTGTGCTTGTTGTCGTATTAATTATTAGTTTTAATTGCGTTTTGTGTGTCCTTTTTTTCTGGCCAAATCATCCCTATACTTACGAGTACTCCCCACCCCTCCACGAAATAGTTGGAATAGAAACCCAACCGAAAATCTCCGTAACTTTTGGACTCTGACCCACATCTACACACTCGTCGTGTATCCTTGTTTGACTTTGCCTTTTGGGGTTTTTCAGTGATGGTGCTCGAACAACCCCAAAAATTGTCTGCAATTAAATACTTTAAACCATAATGTATTTTTCACAAGTTGAGCAATGTTGACCATTTGGTTGCGGATGTGGTTGGGGGCCGCCTCCGCTGCCGCCTCCTGCTCCTTGTGTTCTCTTCAGTGTAAATTACATGCACAAAGAAAACTCATTTGTATTCGGAGACCCTGGACCCGGCTACCAGAGGACTTCCAGCTTAACCCCACACTGACCATCGTGCCTGCCGCAAGTCAAAAGCTCAGCCACAAGCAATTTTATTATTTTTCACCACCCATGCCCACTTTTCTCCAGTTTTCCCTAACATTTTGGCAACTGTTTAAAACACATCCAGAGATATAACTAATTCGAATTGCGTCTGCTGTTTGCTTATCAAAATTTTAATTGCATTTTTTTTCTGTATTTTTTGGTGTGTTCCGTTTTTCCGTGTTTCCCCTTGAGATTTGGTCCCGCGGCTTATCCATTTGTTATAGATATTGTTGTGTGAATTCGTTTGGTTTGGTTGTGCTGTACATCTGTTGTTAGCTGTTCGATTGCGTTTTCCTTTTGGCCATTTCTCGAATTTCGGCGAGAATCCGCTAGAGAGAGACTTGGCGCCGTCAAAGCTGGAGCTAACTCACGTTTGTTGGGGTCTGGTCTCGTTCTTTCCCTCCCTCATTCGGGCTCCCTCTCCTGCTCGTGCTCCCTATCCTGCTCCTGCTCCTCCTTTTGCAGCCAACTTCAGCTGGCTCTCGCACTACGACTCCCACTTCCGTTTCCGCCAGCGTCCGCCGCTTCGGTATTAAATGGTGCGCGTAATTAGATTTTAAATTTATTGTGCTGTGTGCTGGTATTTATTTTGTCTGCCTTGGTGTGCATAACAATGCAATGGCTGCAATAAATAAATAAGCAAAACGTGAATGTGAATTCAATGGCTGTCCCACTGCCTCTCTTCCAATTTTCCACTCTTTCTCTATTTATTTTTTCTATTTTCCTGTATGTGTGTGTGGGCCTCTGGAGACCTAAAGAGAGAGGCATGATCTAGTGGGGATTTGTAAGGCTGTTGTATGTGTTTGTGGCAGTGGAGAACGCTAAATTGAATTTGGCAATTGATTACCAGATTGATGCTGCGTACGATTTGGCGCATTACTGCCATAATTTGTATCGGATCACGATTAAGATTTCACCTCAAATCAACCTGGAAATCCTTTGCTCAAATCCCGACCCAATACGGACTAATTTATGGCTCATCTTTGGCAAGTTCTTGCCACAAAACTGCGGCCATCCGTCGACCAATTCATGCACTGTCATGCCAACCGCAGATAAGTGCCACCGCAGACAAGACAGTGAGTGCTCTGCGCCGTGTGCCATGAGTCGTGCCGTGCCGTGCCGCACTGGCTGTGCTGGCCTTTAAATGTACATAAATTCCGCGGCAGGCAGGCAGCGTGAGTAATGAGCGCTTAATAAGGCGCCATTGGCATATTTTAAGGGCAGTAGCAGTAGCAGCAGCAGCAGAAGCGCCGCAGTGTATGTTTCATAATTTACATATTGCGAAAATATTTATGCTCATTAAATATGCGCGAAATAAATGCGAGTGCAACTGCATCTGAAATTGTTGCTGGCTTGTTTGCAAATTTCATAAATCACCGATGTTAAAAGCGATGTTGTACTGCTGTTTCAGGAGCTTTTGACTCTGCTGCTGCTGCCTGTGCTGCTGCCTGTGCGGCTTCTGCTCCTGCTGATGATGATGGGTTGTCTGTCGGAGCAGCGGCAATGCCAGAGGCGGTATCAACTGCCATATCCTGCATGGAACATCATGGAACAGATAGGAAATGGGATATAGATGGATGGGGTCGCAGTCGCAGTCGAAACCATCTGCCTTGTCTTGTTTACACATGTTCCAAACGCAAATGAGCCGTGAAACGCTGATAATGCAACAAACTGACAATTGACGATTCAACACATTTGTCTCCATTTCTCCCCGGGAGGCGGCAGCCTGGTGCTGGCTCCACTTGAATTAAGTTTATCAAAATATTTTCGCAGCTTTTGTATGAACGTGTGTGTGCACGACTCCTGATCTACATCCGGTCGGCTGGTTCCTCTCTTTCTCTCTCTGTGTGTGAGATTGTTCTTTGTTTTCCAGTTTGCCGGCCACAAAGTTCTGTTTACTTTGTTCCTGCCAGCCTGCCACCTTGCCACCTGGCTGCTCTGCTGATAGAGTCATCCCATCTTTGAGACCTGTGTCTCTCTCTCTTTCTCTCTCTATATATATCAGTTTTCTGCCTCCCCGCCGTCCTGTCCGCAGCATTAAAATATGCCAATAACAGTGCACTGGCAATGCAGGTTTCCCGGCACTCAGATGATGCCGTCTCCCATCAAAATGAGCTGCCAGAGAGTCGCCAGCGGAGAGGAGAGGCGCTGGCACTGGACACTGGCCATGGAAGAGCTCATGCATGTCAGGGGCGGGACCGGGGCACGCCCATCGGACAATGGCGCGAAATGTGTAACGGAAACCACAGGCGAGTGCACAGAGAAACAGTGAAAGGAGATCGAAGGATTGAGACCAAGTCCGGCTACCAGGTCCGGGCTCAATAATGCAGACAATAAAATTTTAACGTAAATGTTGCGTAATTAAATGTGTTGCCCGCAGAGCAACGTAAAACGAGATTGAGATTGTTTTTCCTCCATATTGTCCGATGAGAAAAGAGAGCTACGAGTACGCGAATATATGCCAGCCAGCCAGCCAGGGAGCGGCAATTGTAAAGTCCTCACCGAATCGGTTTAAGGTATTCGCAGCACAACGCACAATGGATACTGAAATTGAATGTCGCAGGGGAAGCACTTGTAGGACTTTAAACTGAAGATTAAAGTACCAATTGAAAGGCTGTCTGCTGTATTGCTGTAATGCCATACTTTTGGGCCATCGCTCGTGGGGTAACCACAAACTGCGATGTGGTCGCCGAGCGATTTGCCGTTGTCATAATATCGATTAAGCCATCAAAACTTCGACCGCTTATTAATGCGCGTACATCAGCGGTAAAGTGCGGTCATAATTCAAATGAGGACACGACCCTTTGGTCCGGATATGGAGCTGCCTGCTGCCTGCAGTCCTCAATCAATAGTGTCGCCATGAGGAAAGTGAATTTACTCAACCGCTGCACTCGGCTCTTCCTGTTCGGCATCGTAATGCTGACCCAGCTCTGTGGCCTAACCACATTCGTCTACGATTTGAAGCGGGAACGCTTCTATCAGTCCAATACTCTGAGGGTGTATTCTGTGCTGTTTCTAGTGTTCCTTACGGCACTCATTGTGGGCAGTGCTTCCGCCGATATCAGCATAAGGGATGATTGGGGGTCCTGGGTGGTATATTTTGTGATTTTTGTGGTGCGTGTACATAACATTTTGTACAGTGGGCAGTGCGTGAGGCTGCTGAATGAAATGCACAGTCTGGTGAGGCAACTGCAGACAATGGCCAAGCATCCGAATATCTACCGAGGGCGGCATCTACTGCTGCTCGTGCTGGCCCTTCACACTCTCATACGTTCGCTTATATCGGCAATGGGGCAGGACGCCAGGCACAATATCATTCTGCTGGTGATCATTGCTGTTTTACTGGCCTTCCTGCTTCAGATCACGATCAACATCTGCCTCTTTGTGGTGCTAATTGCCTGCTACCATGAGCTGCATCTATGCACGCGGCGGATCTCCAATGATGTGGGCAAACTGCGACAGGCTCAGACTCGAGTGCTGGAGGGTGTCCACCTTTCGGTGCTGGTCGAACAACTTCGATGCCTAACCGAGGAATTGATTATCCTGCGATCGAGGGTGTTTCACATCGCTCGACGACTCATCAAGCACTTTCGATTCTACTGGCTGTGCGCCATCGTACAAGGACTGGTACCCTTCATATTCCACACAGCCATCCAACAGCGGCATTTCTATTTCCTGACCACTTCCGCGCTGAACATAGTCTTCTACTTTACCATATTTGAGATGTTGTCAAGGGGGTCGCGATTGTCGCGAAGTTTCTGGCACTTCCACTTGACCAACTATCAGCCCAGCTTCGACAGAACGGTGAGTGTGGAAGGGATCAAGCAATCCGTAGTTCAAGTCTTTCTACACTTCATTATATATATTTACAGATTGATGAGTTGGTACACCTGGAAATCAATGAGCACATCAAAATATCTATCTATGGCATTACGCTGGACATGAAATTCCTCTTCCGAGTGCTGTCTATTTCCATTTTCTTCATATTTGTGAACACGGAGAGCTACTGGCACCGCCAACGTTAGCTGAATACGATATCAGTCCCTCCCCTCCTGATATGTAAACACTTTATTTCCATTTTGAACTGTCAAATTAAAGTCAGAGACACTGTCTCTACTTTTCGATACTAGGCGACAGCCTTCCTTGTTCTTTATTAGAATTTTGGGCTGTCACGCTATCGCAACTGTTCTGTTGTTGTGTTCTGCTGTGTTCTGCTGTGTCCTGTGTGCCAGTGTCAATTGCACAAGTCAAAAACTGCCTTATAGATGACTTTCCAGATACTTTGCCGGCAATTACGTTGCCGTTTCATTGTTCCACAGACTTGGGGCTGGGCTTCGAACAAGCTTCATAATATTTTCACTTTTATGGCAGGCAACATAAAAGACGACAGCTCCAGTTCGAGCTCCAGCAATGGCTATGGCTATGACCATGGCAATAGCAACAACATCATCATTATCAACACCATCAAAGCGCCAAGAGAAGGAGAAGTCTACCTCGCCAGAACCTGCTGCTCCGCCCCACTCAATTGTCGTAAAATCCTATGAAAAAAAAGCAGCAAAAGAGAGTGAGAGAAGAGGGACACAGGGGAAACAGCAAAGTGTGAGTGCGTAAATTTTGCGCTCTCCGGACTCGGACTCTGTGTCGGTGTCGGTGTCTTGGTCTCAGAGACGGAGTCACTCAAGTGTCCTTCCATTCTGTGTCATAAAATTAACGCTTTATATGAATGAAAGCATAAGGCGCTCGATTTTTATCACCAAGGCCAACAAGATGGCAATGAACGAGCTGAGCTCGGAGCTCGAAGCTGGGAGCTCATGAGAGCATAAAAAGTTTAGAGTTGAATTAGAAAGACGCCGAGAAAGTGTGTCGGGGAGAGATGAGTGCTTAAAGATGCCCCCAACGAGTGTCTAATTATTTACGTGCAATGAAAGTTATGAATTGGGGCAATGAACAAGATGACAGAGAAGTACTGTACTCCCCTTTGTCAAAGTTCTCCCAGCCATCCATTGCTCTTTGCCTTTGCTGTCTCCAGATAGTCATAGTCATAGTCATCTGTCTGGGATTTGTTTCAGTGTGCTTCTGTAGCCATACGACTGAACACATTCACATTTCAACTGGTCTGAAATTTGAATTATAAATTAAACACACTTATTGTATACTGCAAACAAGAGAGCAACAGAATTTGCAACAGTGATGGATACTGATCCGGAATTCGTGCGCAACACCACACGCTCCACTTCCAGCACAGAGCTCGAATCGCTGGGAGTGTCTGTGGAGCCAATGGCTCCTGAAATGGAGATGGAGATGATTGGCCCGGTTATCAAGCATCCGCTGGAGCACACTTGGACGCTTTGGTACTTGGAGAGCGATCGCTCCAAGTCCTGGGAGGAGCTGCAAAATGAAATCACTAGCTTCGACATGGTCGAGGACTTCTGGAGCCTATACACACACATCAAGCCTCCATCAGAGATACGATTTGGCAGCGATTATTCTTTGTTTAAGAAGGGCATACAGTGAGTAGATCTTTCGGTGAGGTAAAGTTTATCCATCCAATCCATCCAATGTTCGTTGCCTCAGGCCCATGTGGGAGGATGAGGCCAACAAGTTTGGCGGACGTTGGGTCATCACTACGGGCCGTCGCACCAAGCTGGAGCTGGACAAGCTCTGGCTGGATGTGGTAAGTATCGCGAGCAAGAGCTTTGTGTTTTGTGTCTGTTGGCTGTCATATCTAGGCTTCGACTCGACAGATTCTAATACTGATTGGCGAGTCCGTCGACCACCCTGACGAAATCTGCGGCGCTGTCATCAACTTGCGTGGCAAGCAGAACAAAATTTGTACGTATCCATAGCCGCCTTGCCTGCAATTCCAAAAAACTTCTACATTACTTCTGTACTCCCTCAACTTTGACAGCTGTTTGGACTGCCAATGGACAGAACGAGTCGGCAGTCATTCATATTGGACTGAAGTTGCGCGAAATGCTGCATCTGCCGCCGCTCCAGATGCAGTATCAGCTGCACAAGGACTCGATGACCAAGCAGGGATCGACGGTCAAATCGGTGTACTGCCTCTAAGCTGGCTGGCTGGCGCTGCCCCTCGTCGCGTATGCCTATGCCACTCCCAGTATATTCCAAAAATCGTAAAAAACAAAAAAATTCCTTGTTTAAATTTGCAATTGCTATAAATATATAGTGTTCTATATGAAAAGAAAACCAATGCTGAAATGCGGGAATGCTGAGCTGCTGTGCCCCTTAGGGGATACTAATACTGGGATGCGGCGCGGCGCAGCTCTTCACGCTCCACAAAATGTTATGCAAACATATGCCGCACCGGAGCGCAAATAAAATGGTTTATATACACTTACAGTTTGTACTTTTGGGGTCGAGCAAACTAACTAAAAATTTCGCTGCAAGTGCACAGTGACTGCAAAAGATAAACGTCCACTTGGCGCGCTTGGCTGGCCGAGCGAAAAACAAAAGACCCTCCCAAAAGGGTCAACAATGGAGGATTGTCCGTGTCCGTGTCCTGGGCGTCCTGATATCTGGAACTGGCGTCGAGTGCCGGCGCAAACTGGAAACAATTGAATTTTGATGAAAGGCCACAAAAAAGCCCCGTGAAGACCATTGAAACTCATTCAAAATAAGAGCCAGGCGAAATACCTTAAAGGATCCAATCCACCCAAAAATGTCTAAAGTGCCAACAACATTTCAATCAACATTCAAATGGCAACGGCACGTGCCACTCCAAAGCAGACTGCAACTTCATTATGATCAACTTTAAGCTGACAAAACTCATCTCTAGGATTGGTACACCGTACTCCACTGAGCGTCGCGACGCTGCTCGCTCCACGCTCCTCGACTGCATTTTATGGGCTCAGGTGGCGGCTGGTAACATGGGGAGCTGTTAAACCGAAACCGCATCAAAACCGCACACGTCCCACATGGCATGCAGCTACTTTCAGCACTCGCTACCTCGGTGCCTCTGCCTCGCTGCCTCGCTGCCTCTGCCACACCCACCCACAGCCACATGCCGCGTTCTTACACCTTTGACATATTGCCAGGGCAGTGGCAGTCGCAATGGCGAAGGCACAGGCAAAGGTACAGGTGGGACATGGGACATGCGAGTGTATGTGGAGGCGGAGCACAACACCGCAAACTTTTTGCCCTTAGACGAAAATTTACAAATTAGTTGCTCGAAACGTGACATCGAGAATGTTGCAGTTGCACTTGCAACAGCAGCAGCATCACCGTCAGCAGTATCTGGCTTTGGTCTGTGTCTGCTATAAAGCTAAAAACTTTTGCAACATGCAACTTAATTAGGAAATAAATAAATTAGACTGTCTTATGACAGATGCGCGTGTAAGTGCAAAAATTGGTCATCATTTGCACTTGTGGCGAGGCGAGGCAGGGGAATTGCATTTCGAATTCATTGGCTCTCGATTGAAGAGCTCTGGCAATTGGTTTTTTAGGTCAACAAGAAGCACTTTGGCTCGTGGTTATCGATGTTACTTCATCATAAAAAATTATAAAATATTCGTATACAAAGAAAAAAGGAAATCCAAGTCGGGAGCAGAGCCATCTCGATTAGCTCGGTTATAGTCTGGTATATGTTCCCATCGGCCATCGCCATCGGTCTCTGGTCTCTGGTCTCTCCCCGCTTTACCCATCTTTCTCATGCATATATCAACACTTTACGGATAGCTGGGAGAAACCACACTCAGCTCCAGCTTTGGTTTTTATGGCCACACCAGCTGGAAGCTGGACAAGCACTATGGCTGCCTGCTATGCTGCTCCATCTCCATCCACAACTCCACATCCACATTCACATTCACACTCCATCCAATCCATTGGTGCTGGGCTTTTGTATATTTTGTGTATTGTTTGGGGCTCTCGCGCGTTCGCTGGTTTCGGCTTTTGGTTTGGTTTCGTTTGGTCTTCCCTTCCCTTCTTTTTCTTCTATTTTTTTGTTGGTTCTGGCCAAAACAACACTACACAACATAAAAATAAATTGCACTTCTGACACTTGAATACAGTCGAAGAGGAGGATGTAGTACGAGTAGGAGTGGGAGTACCAGTCGATGGAGGTGGAATAGAAGCTGCTGCTGCTGCTTCTGCTGTTGGGGCAGCGACACATGATTAAGTGGAGTTTGCGGTTGGCTTTGTTCGGGGAATACGCATGTAAATCTATTTGTGTGTACATTATCGTCGTCCAGTTGAAGCTTAACTTTTATCATATAATAAAATGTAATTTTCCAACTCGTAACTCTCTGGTAATTAGAATTTATAGCGAACCAAATCGTTTTTGGCACACAGTCTCAGCACTGGGGGGACGATTCGAGGAGAGATTGGAGTGTCTCGACTTTCATTACATTTCCCAAGAACAGAATTTCATTAGCCGCATAACGAACAAAAGCATGCAACAATTTTTTGCAGCCTTTGCCTAAGGATGATAATAATATTTGCGAGTGGGTTGGGGTTTGGAAATGAAGAGCATTTGAAATGAAATATTCATTTGCGAAAAATTCCACATCAAGTTTCGTTTCGTTTCGTTTTGGCTCTTCACAAATTTGTATTATAAATTAATAGGAATTTATGACGCCAACAACAAATAAAACGAAAAACGAATAACCTACACACAGACCATAATAAAACCTGGGGGCCGGCCAGGCTCCTTTTCCGTGAATCACCTTCAAAGAACGAAGGGATGTCGTCTTATGCCCGTCCAAGATATTTGTCTACAAATATTATTGCTATTCGAAATGTGTAGTATCTTGGGTTTTGCCTCACTTTGGTCGGTTCCTGCAAAAAATTCCTGTCTGCCAAAAATGCAGGCTGGAATGCTTGCTCGGCTCGGCCCGGCCGGAGTCGGCTGCTGGCTCGGTAAATGGCAAATGGAAATGGTCTGGCATGGGGTTCTCCCCCCAAGTTAACCTCTCTTCCATATAATTCTTAATATTTCGCTTCATAAATATGTAAATAAATGCCAACACGATGGCCGGAGAGAAGACTGGAAGAGAAAAAAAAGCAAAAGAAACCTTGGCCTGTTCTCCTGTAGCCGTACTTTGTTAGCCATTTCCCAGAGACGCACACGGACACGGACAGGGAACTGGAGATGAAAATGGAGACTGAGATGCGTTGTGTGATAGAAACTATAAAGGAATGCCACAAAAACCGCACGGAGCTCACAACGGGATATTAAGCACAAAGTCGGCCACAAAGATTTTCGGACGAAACAAACTTAATGAAATAAAGCACTCGCTTAGCAAACGCACACACACATACACACAGATCGAACAAAATGGAGGGGGAAAAGCAGTGTGGAGGGGGGCATAGAGCGAGACAAAGACCCAAAACCGTAGACGGAACCTTAACCTAAAGCATAAGAAGTCAGTCATGAAAAGCGTACGTGAGCAATGAAAAAGTCGCAAACACTTTATTATACGCGGTGCAGGGGTGCAGAAGAGGAAGAGTAGAACTGAATGGCGGCGGGTGGGGCACGGTTGGTGTGGCAGCCACATCAAAATGCTACGCGCTGCGTATACGTAATAGGTTCTCTATGTAGATGCAACCTCCCGCACATACATACAGGGACACCCATTACTCATACGCCGCCGCGTCATTGTGCCGCAGTCAGATAAAGACCGAGAACGAAAGACAAAAGACAACCAAGCCCGTGGCTGGGACCGAGCCCGAACCGGACAAAGCACGGTGCCCAGGGGGATGGACAGAAGCCGGACGGACACCAAGGACACGCAGCGATTCGAGGCAATGCACATAAGGTATTTTGGTATTTTAAACATGTGCCCAGCAGCTAATGCATAGTTTATGGGTCCCGGGGCCTACGACTATTGCCAAAAGTGTTGGTCAAATTTGGTCAGCGATTTGAGCGTCCCTCCGAGGTCCCGCCTGTGGGTTACCCCAGCAGGAGCGTCAGCGCCCTTCTTCTCCTATTGAAAGCTAAACGGTAAAGCAAACTTTTATATCGAATTTTATATAGCATCGGGTATTATCTTTAGTACAAGATTCTGTTTCTAATTATAGCCAATAAACCGGAACCCACTCGAACTTGTGTCCATCTCTACCAGTAGCTATTATATAGGCACTCAACTATAGGACAGTGTTGGGAATACAATACAGAGAAGGAATTTAAACAGAATAGTAAAAAAAGGTTTAAGGTCAACGAGATCCTTTTACAGGTAAATGCTTTGGAAAAAAACTACCTCTAAACTATCACATCAGATATAGTTCAAGGAGATGAAAAACCTGTTTGACAGTGTTTTCGAAGAGCCTGAGTGAGAGGAAGGATCAAAGGGTAGAACTCGTTTAGAGAGAGAGAGAGGGAGAATGTAAGGATTGATTTTGATTTGTCACAATTTTCAGGTAAAAAAAAAATCGATATTGATTTTACAGAATTTCCAGAGGAGAAAAGAACTTAGTTCACATTTTCACCGATAGGTGGCGCCACCAAGTAGTAATGAAATGGTCCCTTCTACGTGTTGCGAGTAAATCCTAAATTCGCAACATGTTGCTTAGGGATGTGAAACATGATATTTGATTCAACAACCCTATTCTCAGCAACATGTGGTTTTCAAATAAATGGTTTCAGTTTCTGATATTTACCATGATCATGTTCAAAATAAATATTTTTTCATATTGTTTTGGGAAAATAAATGGTTTCAGTTTCTGATATTTACCATGATCATGTTGAAATAAAATAATTTATAAAAATATATATGGTTTTAGTTTCTGATATTTACCATAATCATATCCTTCAAGAGTAGAGTTACCTATATTTATATATAGGATGTGCAATCAATGAATAAAAGTATAAGATGAATGCAAAGAGAACTTATTATAGTAAATATACGAAGAAGGTCCCTTTTCATTACTACTTGGTGGCGCCACCTATCGGTGAAAATGTGAACTAAGTTCTTTTCTCCTCTGGAAATTCTGTAAAATCAATATCGATTTTTTTTTTACCTGAAAATTGTGACAAATCAAAATCAATCCTTACATTCTCCCTCTCTCTCTCTAAACGAGTTCTACCCTTTGATCCTTCCTCTCACTCAGGCTCTTCGAAAACACTGTCAAACAGGTTTTTCATCTCCTTGAACTATATCTGATGTGATAGTTTAGAGGTAGTTTTTTTCCAAAGCATTTACCTGTAAAAGGATCTCGTTGACCTTAAACCTTTTTTTACTATTCTGTTTAAATTCCTTCTCTGTATTGTATTCCCAACACTGTCCTATAGTTGAGTGCCTATATAATAGCTACTCACAGCTATAAGCTATTACAGAAACTAGTAAACTGTATACAAAGATGGATAACCTAGAGGTCATTTTTATTGAGTCGCAACCGGAGGAAACCATAAATCTGGATTCTCAGCCAGACTCCGTGGACCTGTCACTGATTTTTGGAATTAAAACCCAAAATTATATCGAGAGGAATTGGAATCCTATTAATGAGATTAAATGGGATGATGATAGTGAGGATGATGACCTCATGATATCATCACAATACATTTTTGAGGAATATGTCGGTGAGGACTCCATGACTGAAACGCCATTCGTTTTTCCGGATGATGATCATATTTTCGATTTGGTCGATGATCAAGACTGCGGCGAAAGGGATCGACTCAGGGATCTACTTCGGGATGAAGATGACGCTGAGTTAATAGCGGCGTTGGAAAGAACTGAGGCTGGATTTAAATAAGGCGAGAAAGCATATGTATAATAAAAATATTCGATGTATTTTTCTAATCATAATATTATATACATACATACATAGGTATAATAAATAGAATACTACATTTAAGAAATTTATTTTCAATGTTTCCTTACTTCTGATTGGGTGAATTTCACTTCCTACTATTACATGTTACATCCCCCCAGAGAATCATAGGATTCGTTTGAAACAGGTTTTCCAAGCGAGGATTACACAAAAGAATAAGTGCATTTCAGGTATAGGTACCTGGTATTGAATGTATTTATTGGTTGAATTTCACATCCTAGTAATCTAGGTACAATCGTGTAAATTCATTTACATTTATAGAAATGTATAGATTAATTTATTTCTTAGTATTTAATATTTCATTTATTTGCTTTAATTCTTTGTTATGCTTTAATAAAATATGCATATTGAAGTCAAATTTTAACCAAAACATCTTAGGTCCAGGACATAAGTAACATCGATAAAACGATGATTTTGATTTTGAATAACTGAAGTTGTGAATTTTTAGGGTGTGATATTTCAGTCCATTGCGGGAACTAAACGATGTTTTAAAATAACACAGCTCGCAATGAAATGCTCTCATTTCGAATTGAAAATTAACTAAATTATCTTAAGAACATGAAGTTATTATATAGGTTTTCAAGTGGTTTCATTTCACTCTATTTATATATTGCATCATATTGACTGTTACATATAAAGACATACATGTATGTATAATATTTTGAAAATCATATACTAAAGTGGTATAGACTCAACAACCAATCAGATTGAAGACATCTGGTTTTTAAACCATTAGAACCATTTACTTATTATTACTCATCTGCCAATCAGCATAGATATTTTTTATATCAAATTTTCCTAACGAGAGTATAAAAGATCATGCTATCTTGGGTAAATAATTTAGTATACAACAGTGTCTTTTTTGAATAGTTTATATTCCTATAATGGTATGTAAACAATTTATTGTTATTATTATTATTATTTTTTTTTTTTGTATATAAAAGGATAAACTCTTAATAAAATATATACACAGGCTTTCCTGGAAATACTTAACGAGATAAAGCCGGTGCTTGGATACACCAAGGTTGAGGATCTATGTATAGGATTTGAGTACGAGATCATTGGATGTAAACTCAAAAAAACATCATTTGGAAATAAAGTAGTCCTTTATTTAACTGATAAGGACAACAAGCATCTTTGGATATTTTTACCAAAAAGTTATGTAGCCAAATTTTCCTCAAAAACACCCTTTAAGATGTTAAAGGAGCATGGAATTTCACATCTTATATATAAAGGAAAAGAGATGACTAGGTATAGCACTGCCCAATTCCAATTTATATGTAAAGAAGAAATAAATAATTAAAGGTAATACTTCTTATATATGTAAGAGAACAAGAGACAACAATACATTTCAAGAATAAAAAAGGGAATAAATGGATGTAAATAAACATATTTCAATATACATAGGTAAAAAGAGATGGATAGATGTGGCATTGCTTATTTACAATATATACATAGGTAAAGAAAAAACATAAGTTTAAAAGAACAACATCGTGGATATAAAGGATCACGCTCTTTAAACCAACATCAGTATTCGATTCAAGAAGCCAGTTGAAGCATGTACGCCAAGCAGATAAAACTATTCCTTATTCAATTCGAAGAGATGATCTTCGAGGAACATCTGAAAACGCTGGAAAACCTAATGATAATTTTGGAGGATCTGGAGGAAAAGGAGCTCCAGTATTCAAAGTTCGGCTTTCACTATAAGCTGTGCCCCTGGAGTGATGACGATGCTACCGATGGACCTGATACATGCCTTTGTCATACATTACCGGCAAAGAAAGCTCAAGCTGTAGACTTAATGATAAAATATTATAACCTAAATAAGCGAATGAATCCCAGTTCAAAACAGCAATAAATATTTACTCTAAAACAATTTTATGTTGTTTTATTTTAAACATATTTTTTAAACATTTTCATTATTAGCTTATCATTATAATTAAAGTCATTTTTCTTAAATTGTTTTAAAAAACAATTTAATGTTTTATTGTTACTCTTAAAAATTCCATAAAGAATACAGTAATGACCGCAGGTACTTGAAAAATATCCTTGAAGTGATTGTTTATTAAATGTAAACTTCATTGAATTTTTTCTTAATAATTGTAAAAATTCTTTTTTCTGAGGATATTGACCATAGGAATCAAAAAATTCAGCTGAATTTTTGCTTTCAAAGTAGAAAGCAACCCAATGAGTTCCTGGACGTTGTGATGAATCTGTGTTTGCTATTATTAGAGCAGGATATTTAGAAATTACTTTAGGAAGCTTATCAGAGGGATAAACTCCTTTAAAAACCTTTTTTGTTTTTGAATGCTTAGAAAGCAAATTATTGATTTGCAATGTATTCATTTTTATAATAGAACCCGAATATTTCGATGTTTATCAATATCAATCATTGAGTCATATTCACAGTATACCAAACAAGTAACTGCTTCAGTAAGAGGTTCCGAAAATCGTCCTTCAATTCGAATGGCTCCTTGAGAAATTAAGTTTGAGCAATGGGTTGAATTATAATGGTCTGCAGTTAAGTCAAATGCTAATATAAAACTATTTTTATCATACATTTCCTTTGTAATTTGCAAGCCTCGATCATAATGTCTTATTCCACTTGCTCTGAATAGCATATTATAACCTCTAGAGCTTTGTGCATTTTCAGAGTTCGAGAAATCAAACTCAAGAGCCTGCGATGGTACTTGCACACCATTAACCAATAGATTAAAGCGTTGAATTTTAAAATGTTCAAAATTGAAAGGATTCAAAGTTCGATTGCCAGAATATGATTTGTTTTTTACCATGCAAAAAGCCAAAAAATTAGGAATCTGTCCAATAACTGCATTGTCAATTGATAATGTATTATTTCCTGGGTATATTGTAAATGATTTTACTTGGGCTTTGCTATATGGATAAATAGCATTTTTAGTTTGTAAAACATGATGATGAGCCAATAAAATGCTTGGATTAATAGTTATGTGGTTCATGAAGAGTTGTGCTTCCAATATCTTTAGATTTGATTCAGTTTCAGATTCCATTAAATAAAATGCTGTTTTTTCAATGTTAAAAGTTATTCTTAAATCAACATTATTTATAAGCAGTTTTGGTTGATTAAATATATCTCCATTAACTTTTCCAAAAAGTTCAACCTTATTACTGTTTTGAAAAATTTTTTTAAGCAAAACGGATCCATCGGTATTAACATATCTACCAGATAATAATTTACCATAGTTAGGATAATAGCCTTGAGTGGTTAAGTGACTTTCAGTGGCGTCACTACCATAGTTTAAAATCGTTTGCAAATACGATCTATAATGATAGTTATTATCACTCTGAGAAACCAATATATTATTTAAATATACAGACGAACTTCTGAACATTGAATGTAAAATATTATTCACTACTCCAACATTGTCTCCTTCAATGCTTCCATTATCATTTTTTCTTAGTTGTACAACAAGTCTTAAGTAAACACTTGACAGATCTCGATATGTTTCACCATTTCCTAAGCAAACGAATTCAATTGAAGAGGCGCTGTCCAATGAAGCTATGGGATTGTATGAAACTTCTTCAGTTCTCAGAATAGAGCTTTGTGTGGGATGTGGTTCAAACAGATCCAATTCGCTTTTCATACATTCTATATGGGTGGTCATTTTGATTTCGAAAAAATATCTTTTATATTTAATTTCTTGGAGGATTTTTTCTTTATTGGTCTCGACTGCGTATGTTTGCGTCCTTGTTTAGATGATAAATGAGCTCGTTTTTTCCTAGACCTTCTCTTTTTATTCTTTTTACCTTCACCATTTTGGAATCGTGTAAATTTATTTATTGCTTTATTTGACAGATTTTGCAATGCAATTTTGCTTTGTTCTTGGATAATGTTTCTTAAAGGTTTTCGACCAAACTCATTTATTACAGCCTTTCCAGTTTCAGAGGCTTGATTTTTAATAGCGTTTATCCCCGAAAGGAAGAGTGGTTTTATATAATTAAAAAGCCCACTAAAAAAATTTCCAATTCCTCTACCTTGTTGGATAACTCTGGGTGTCACATATAGACTTCCTATATGATTTAACCCACCACCACATTGATTTAAATAATATTGTTGATAAGATCTCGTCATGATGACTATTTCTACTCTGAACTAATTTAGATTTGTACAGTTTTATTTATAGCATTTCGATTCGTTTTCTGAAGTGTAGAGTAATAAATATTGGAACTGTTGAAGATTCAAATGGTACTTTATATCCTTTGGAATCAGTAATTAATATTGAAATTTCCTTTGGTGACCATATTTCAATAGGATAATATTCAATATTTTTGAATTGCATGAGTTGCTCTTTTCCATTGAAATATAATACTCGAAGACATCGGGGTCTCTTGTTTCCTACACATCTTGGTTTAATAATGTCAGTGTAAACAAAAATCAATCCATTTTCAAAAACTTCAGACTCAATTGATTCATTTTCATATCTAAATGTTTCCCCATTTACTAAGCTAATAACGAATTCTGTTGTTTCGGTAGATATAATCGAGGAATTATTACGATTGACTGGTGTACATTTATTAAGATATAAGTCTGTGATTCCAACTTCCCATTCGTCATTCATGTTTTCAGGAATATTTACAATGTTTGTAAATGCACACTTAACGTTATCATTAAAGACATTTAACGAATCATTACTGAGTAATGTAACGAAAAACTGTGTTGTAAATGTCATTTTTTGTTTTATGTTCTGCTCCGTTTATTAATTGTAGGAAACCCAATTAATTTTGTTTTTTCCAATTTGCAAAGGCTCTCTGTTTCTAACAGATCTACTCAACTTTTCCCGTCCGCTTACGTATTTCAAGTCTTGTAATGGTTTTGGTTCACTTTTATCCCTCTTAAGTTTTGCTCTTAGTTTTTGCTGCTTATCGGTAAGCTTTACTTTAGATACTGCTTGTATTTTTGATACTTGAGTGTCTAAAAATGGTGTTTCTAAAAATGAAGTGTCCTTTACTTTACGTTTTTTATGCGTTGACTTAAAAGTTTTTTCAGGCTTTAAATCATCATCGTCGCTGAGATTAGGTAAATCATGTGACTCATTATCTATTGAGAAATCCTTTTTTGGGTTAACATTATTTTTATTGTAAAGAATATCAGTTGTGGGCATTACATCAAACCCGACTGAGTCGTCTTGTGTTTGTGTTCCAATGGTTTTAGATGATGGATGTGATGTTTTCAGACTAGGTCGTACATCCATTGTCTTATTTCTTTTTTTATTTTGATAGTAACACAATTCTTGACGTATTTTAATCCATTTATTATAGTCACTAGTTTTCTTATCATTTAAAATAGGTAAAAATGTTATATTTATTAAATCGTTTTCATTTTCACCTTTTATTAGTTTTTGATAAGCATTCGGACGCATTAAAATTACTTTGCTTAATTGATGCGTATTTCTAAACATTGCTTAATATTTTTCCAAAAATCCCCGAAAGCAATGAACTGATTAGAATTGGTAAAAATCCTCCCTTTTGGATGAGAACTTTTCTCTTGGAATTGATTGAACGTTTTGGACATGAAATATAACGTAATGCATTTTTATACTTTTTGAGAGCATATAGTTGAGATTTTGATATCTTATGATTTCCTTGTAATGTGTTCAATACTATTTCCACTAATGCTTTCACCGACTCAATATCACAATTACTTATAATTGCATTTCGAAGTTTGTGGTTAGCCCTTTTGAGCACATACAATAAATGTTTGTTCGCTTTCAATCGATTTAGATTCTTTTTGTAAACCATTTTCATCAGCAAAGCAAATTGTGTACACAGAATTAAAAATATCTGTTCGAAATCTCAAGAGATCATTTATTCCCTGAGTAAGGTCAATAAGTAAATAACCATGTGGCTCATCTGTAACCTCCTTATATATTCTAAATAGTTCCTGAGAGTTCTCAGGATAAATTTGTCTTGCCAAGCATTGAAATTGCAGTTTATCTCTGGGGTTTTTGAATGCAACGATGTATTTTGTGTTTAGAGAAATATCTCGCGTATGTGATGATTTATGAAATATGTTTTGTGTAACTACTATTACAGATAAGTTCCTGTGGTGAGATCCTCTCGTGAAAAGCTCGCATACATTTTTATTAAATGCACCCATCATCAAGTCATCTAATATTAAAAGAATGGGTTCATTAGCTTCATTTTCAATTGTTTCAGGAATTCCTTTATAGTATTCGATGTTATTGAAATTTGGTTTAGCGTGTTCCTCACCATAACACCACAGTATTCGATCAATTGAAATACTTAGCATTTCATTCCTTTTGTTTATTAAATTTTCTAAAAACGTTGTCTTTCCAGACCCTGAAGGACCACAAATTAGCATTGTAAAAGGATGTATAAATTGTTTAAACATTTTTTAGTAATTTTTATTTATTAATCATTTATAAATGTTTTCTATAATTTAATTAGGTTTCTCCTGATCGCGTTTTTTGTGACAGTTTTTTTCAAAATGAGTATCAGATCCGCAATAATTACAATAAACAACTTGGGAGTATCCTTTTTTGCGTGGATCATTTTCAAACAAACGCTTAAATGTATTCATTTTAATCAACTAGTTAATTCCAATGCTTAATACATACTGAAATTCTATACATATGAATCACCATTACAGTATACATTATAATTTGAATTTTCCAAGATAACAAAAAGCTTAAATAAATTATTTAGAGCACATCTAAGAGGCATTTTTTTGTGAATTCTACAGTTGGTAAAAAAATTTGGATATAAGGTCAGACTTTTTCCAATATCGATATCAATAATGTTATTTTTTAAATACTTTGATAAAAACTTTTTTTTAATTTCACCTCTTACAATGACAGTGTTAAATCTGTTTAGTGGTGAAAGTATTTCACCTAAACTTAAATATGATATTTCACCGTCTGACCATTCCAATCCATTTATGGTGTGATGATGTATGTTTTGTTGTTTAATCATTTCATTATCCAATTCATTTAGGTTGTATGGTGGTTTGAAATGAAAGAAGTTTGGAGTTACTGTACCGGTTTGCATAAACGCTAATTCCTTAATAAAAATTTGTTTGTTATTTCCAAAGAGATATTGAAAATCAACAATAACGCTTGATTTCCTGTCGATTGTGTTCATGTTGGCTTGAGATTTTGTAATAAACTAAATGAGTCGGTGATAGCTTTCTCCTTTATATACAGCTCATTTCAGTAATAGTTCTCAGTTTAAAAAAAGCATTCAACTCTAATGGACACGCTTCAATCAAAAAGAATTAGGTCTACTAGAAAGAAGCAGGATCACGAAGTCATATTCGGACTCGAATATTATGTAATACATAATTTAAAGTTAAAGTGTGGGTTTTCAACTTCAAGAAAATTCACTCCCATGATCTGGATGCAGCAAAGCAAAAACAATTTCGTTGGATTAGATAAAGATGAATGGATGAAATTGGTTACATACAAGGAGTATATTCAATTAAAACTTGATCAGTATGATTTCTTGATGCCTGATACAATTATAGACCATCCATTATTAGGTACTATAAAATGTAATTTTAGATTTCGAAAATCCGATAAGCAGTATGTTTTTATAATAAATCAGTTTGGAAATAAAATTGAATTTGATAGTGAGTCCTGGAGATCATTTTTAAGATTAGGCATTTTTTTTACTACATTTTTATGTTGGAATACGATACTTAAACAACAAATTACATTTCTTTACTATAATAACATTATTCCTAAGTGTGCAGAATTGCAAAAATTTGATGTTCAACTATCTGATTTAGACGGAACTTATGATAGAAATGTTGAAATAGATTTAACCCGGTTATGTTTCGAAATTTCCAAAAAAATGTGTAATCAAATAAAACGCGATGTTCTCGAGTATAAGCAAACACTATTAAATAAGCAATCAATCAACAATAATATTAAAAGTAAAAATTAATAAAAATGAGTAAGCAGCAAGTTGTTAATGAAATACATAAGCCTGCTAGAAAAAACTTTACTCGTCGCAAATTCGTTCAAAAGGGCATTAATGACACGTGGCAAATAGACTTAGTTGAAATGATCCCCTTTTATAAGGAAAATAAAGGATTTAGATATTTGATAACAGTGATTGATACGTTCTCGAAGTTTTCATATGCAGCTCCCGTTAAGTCTAAAACAGCTTCAGATGTGTCATCAGCAATGAAGAGAATATTTAATATATCTAAACATATCCCTAAAAATATTCAATCCGATCAAGGAAAGGAGTTTTTCAATAGATCCTTTGGAGAGTTAATGCGAATAAACAACATAAACCATTACCATACATATACACACCTCAAGGCATCTATTTGTGAACGTTTTAATAGAACATTAAAAAATCGTATGTGGAAAATGTTTAGTATGCAGGGTAATCATGTATGGATTCATGCCTTGCAGGACTTAGTAAATGATTATAATAATTCATATCACAGAACCATAAAAATGAGTCCTATAGATGTAGACAAGCAAAATGAAGAGTTTATTTTAAAAACAGTTTATAATATTTGCAAGGTATTCCCCAAAAATAAGTTTTCCATTGGTGATCCTGTTAGAATAAGTAAATATAAAGGTATTTTTACGAAGGGATATGAACCAAACTGGACAACCGAAGTTTTTAAAATTTTAAAAGTCAAGTCTACCAATCCTGTAACATATGAACTGGAGGACTATAAGGGGGAAATGATCAAAGGCTCCTTTTATGATCAAGAACTCCAAAAAGTGAAAGATGAAAATGCTTTCTTAGTTGAAAAAATAATCCGAGAAAACATGATAAAGTTTTTGTTAAATGGTTAGGGTTTGATGAAACACACAATTCATGGATAGATAAAAAGAATTTATTAAAATAATTAAACATCAAACAATTTTTGATGTTGTTTTTTTATTTTTTATATACATACATTTTTCATTAAAAGTTATACAAAATATATACAAAATATACAATTACTTATCATATTTTTATACTAAATCTAAATATATTCAATTCAGATTACTTATACAATATTTTGTGTATCATTACTAGAATATAAAATATTTTGAATTTCAAAGTGATTATGAGCTAATGTTGAAATATTATCAGGCAATATAAATCTCTTGTCATCCTTATAATTAAGACTTATCTTATTTACAATTTCAGTATATATTTTATGACCTCTACTTCGAATAACTCTCTGCTGACCATAATAAGTTTTTTTATGTTTAATGCATTCAATATAATGATCATGCGATAATCTTTTCACTACTGACTTTTTGACTCCTTTAACCTTTTTTACGTTATCAAAGTCAGAGCTATCATCTTTTGCAACTAAATATGAGTATGCTTTTGCTTTTAATCCTGCAAAAGAGGTCATTATCCGACCTGCATTTTCGTCTTTCATTAAACCTAGTTCCTTGTTATTAGCACGATGTATACCGAATCTGTTTGAGGTTTGATAGTTTGATGTGTCAAAGCGACTAGGATTGTCTTTAATTAGTTCATAAAAATCTTCTTCTGATGATATAATAAATGAATCTGTATCCATATAAAGTATTTTTGATGATGGACATTTTACAGAATGGAAATTATAGAAATAGTCGTACATTAACCATTTTGAAAGTTCTAATACACTAACTCCAATGTATATGGGTTTATCATAATAAATTTTTGATTTAGTTGATTCAATTGCAGCTAAATTATCTCCAAAGACTTCAACACTGTGAAAATTATGTCTAGCTATGCGTTGTCTAAACCCTGCGGAATTCTGTCTGGATTCATAATTTTTGACTAATGCAACCTCACGACGCTTTTCTACATTTTCCATCGTTTTGCCGTATACGGCATTGACCATTAATTTAAAAAAGTTTATCTCAAACTCATTTACAGCTAATTTTCTTAGTGTTGTATTTAGGTCAATATAAGGCTTTAACCAACAGGACTGTTTAAAAGATAGTATTCGAGATATTTTTTCTACAATCATACCTTGCTCTATACATAACTGCAGCTGTTTTAAATGTATTATATAATTCTTTTTATCTGATAAATCAGCTATTAATTTGGGCTGCTTTCCTCCTGGCGGAATTTTATTTTCGGGGCAGAATGGTAAACTATTATGTTTATTATGAACATTTTTAGGATATTTCAGATCTACTTCTAATATGTATCCTATATTACCTCTGGCTGATATATTAAGAGCGTTGAAAGATAAAATTTCATTATTACTTAGAAATTTAAAATTGGAATATGGAAGTGGTTGACTCATAGCCCATCCATATAAATTGTTGGCGTCAATATATGTCAGGTAGTTTATAGGATCGCTAGACTTGAATTTGTCATTTAAGTATTTGTTATTTGCTGTAGCGATCCTTTGGGTACATTGAGTCAACCCTCCCCGGACTGCAGTTTTTAAAAAGTTATAAATATCAGGATCACTTATAAGTTCCAATTCTATCTTTGTGTATTTAAGCATTGCATCCCATGAAACTGAAGGAGCAGTAACATAATTAATGGGATCTAGTCTGTATACTCGTGAACAAAGAGTTCTAAAATTTTCGAATACATCGGCAGAATTAGAACATCGCTTTCCAAGTATAATTTTAAGTAATCTCTAATACTAGTACAGTTAAACATTCTCCACACGCTCTGAGCAAAGTTATAATCTTCCACGCTACATTCCTCATCATTCAGAGAATTATAAAAATATTCCCTTGAAGGGAGCTGGGATTCCTCAAATTTTTGAAAACTATCTAAATAGTCATAGGGAAATACTCCTTTTCTTCGTAGCATGTCAAATTTTTCGTTTTGATATTTGCTGTTCAATATTTTGAAATTGGATACATCCATATAGCTAGCAAGTTTTTCTAAGCTCGAATTTAAAAATCTATTTGAATCTATGTATCTTATTTTATATTGATGAAGATGTGAATCAAGCTTGCAAGTTTGAGTTAACGCAATATATAACTCTTTATTGCAAGGAATGGGTTTCAATTCATCTCTTATCGATGTTACAAATAAGTGGATGTCATATCGAGACAAGTTGTGACACACTACAGGGAAAAAGGGATCGCTTAATCTAAATGTTTGCTTACAGACCTTATGAATAGGCCCTACATATTGGCCCGTGAATTGATTGAAGTATTTTTCACGATCATCAACCAAAATTTGCTCATCGCAGGCACAGCACGCTTCGTGTTCCTGACAGTCTTCATCCCAAATATTGAATTCATATATGGGCTTTTTACTAGATTTCCAGTACTTCTCATAAAGGCCATCAGTTTTAGCCCTAAGCACTTGACAGAATTTTTCAATACAATCAGGTCCTGAAATAACGAAGTCGTAATGCTTAGAGTTTATTTATATTTATTTATTTATTTTATAATATTTACCTTCATATGTCCACATCTCATTTAGATGAGGATTGTATTTATGTGCAACATAAAATGAAACTGCACATGCTGTATGCCTCTGCGCCATAGTAGTCGATGATTTGGAGGGATCATTAAGATTTCTATGGAAATTTTCCAAAACAGCTTCGATGTCAGCATAAATTACGACTGGGGGTGAAAGTTTTTTCGACCAACTTTTAAATATGGTTTTAGTATTGGGTTCTGGATATAGAGCCGCAACTTTTCCACACTCCTTAGTGTCGTGAATAGTATTTGTAGTACTATAAAATTGCAAACAGTTATCGCAAAAATATGCTGCACTATGAGATTTACTATGTTGGGAATAGCATAACTTCTTCATGCACGTTATATAGGCATAATGCATCATTTGCATATCACTATTGATGCCTAGCAAGTTTATATGATTAGGACGAATTTTATTAGTCCTCACTGTGGGTCCCACAACGTTTTTACCATTATCATCAATTTCATATATATTGATGCTGAAATCCTCATTGGCTTTTTCGAATCGCTTTATTCCTTTGCTTGTTATTGGAAACTCAATCTCAGAAAAATCGAGTCTAAAACCGTTATAATGAATTATTTCCTGGTTTATGTTTAAAATGCGATAGCTTGATGGGATTGCTAATTTGTCTCGAGCCAACCTTTTTTCAACTGATCTTGTAAATGTAGTTTCTGCATGTCTTTTATATGCTAATGATGCTAAAATACACCACTTGAAACAAAAATCATCTACATTTTTAACATTGATGATAGCATTTCGTGATTTTATTTTTTTAGGAGCTTCTATATACCCCCTTGCAGGGATGTGTTCCAGTTTAATTATTGTTAACTCAAAATATTTAAAATTTTTTATAGCCCAACCTGAATCCTTCTCCTGGAATTCGCTGCTTAAAGTTATAAGGTTTTCCAGAGCGTTATTTAAGTGTTCATCAATGAACTCTTGCTCATATATGGGTTTGTATGAAGTTATGAAATGCTTCATTGTTTCTGTCAAGGTTTCATCATCAGTTTGCTTGACATACAGACCATATACTTTTAAATTGAACTTTACGGCTCTGTACTCGCTCAAACAACAATTAAGTAAATTGATTATATCATTTTTACAATCATTATAAAAATCTTTTAAGTCAATCCGATTACTTTTACTGGATTGAACCCGATATGATTTTATGGGAAATTTCGAGTTTGATGCCAGGTTGATAATATTAGGATTGTTATGTATTTGGTCTGCAGCGGCATTCTTATGCTTTTCAGACATAATATGGCGCTTTTCCTTCGAGGGAGTGTAACTCTCACCGCATATTGCACAGTCAATGTTTTCCGCTGGTGCATTCATTCTAGGCCGTTTTGAAGATCTTGAAGTTGACTGTTCTCGGAGGTCAGTTGTCGAAGAAGATTTCCTCATTAGCACGTTGAAAGCATTTCTTTGAGCAGAACATACCTCATAATGAGAGTCTAGCTCTGCTAAGTCGAGGAAATTCAAACATAGATCGCACTCAACTTTTTTCTGGGGACCTAAGCAACTCTCATAATGAGAGTCGATCTCTGTTCCCTCTAAGGATTTATAGCATAGATTGCACTCAATCGGAATCCGCGGTCCTACGCAACTGTCGTAGTGAGAGGCGAACTCTGTTAATTTAACAAACTCTGAACACATAGTGCACGCGATTTCGGGATTCATTTTGAAATTTTTATATTTTGTTTGATCACTTTCACTATTAGAAGAGAACTAAGAGTTTTTCATAAAAAGCGTTCTATTTATCTGCCTAACGCCTACTCAGTCTTTTGTATTCAACAGGTTCAGTACTCGTTTAAAACCGGTTTCAAAACGATTTCTTCTGCTGACTATGTAATAATAGGATGTGAAATTCAACCAATAAATACATTCAATACCAGGTACCTATACCTGAAATGCACTTATTCTTTTGTGTAATCCTCGCTTGGAAAACCTGTTTCAAACGAATCCTATGATTCTCTGGGGGATGTAACATGTAATAGTAGGAAGTGAAATTCACCCAATCAGAAGTAAGGAAACATTGAAAATAAATTTCTTAAATGTAGTATTCTATTTATTATACCTATGTATGTATGTATATAATATTATGATTAGAAAAATACATCGAATATTTTTATTATACATATGCTTTCTCGCCTTATTTAAATCCAGCCTCAGTTCTTTCCAACGCCGCTATTAACTCAGCGTCATCTTCATCCCGAAGTAGATCCCTGAGTCGATCCCTTTCGCCGCAGTCTTGATCATCGACCAAATCGAAAATATGATCATCATCCGGAAAAACGAATGGCGTTTCAGTCATGGAGTCCTCACCGACATATTCCTCAAAAATGTATTGTGATGATATCATGAGGTCATCATCCTCACTATCATCATCCCATTTAATCTCATTAATAGGATTCCAATTCCTCTCGATATAATTTTGGGTTTTAATTCCAAAAATCAGTGACAGGTCCACGGAGTCTGGCTGAGAATCCAGATTTATGGTTTCCTCCGGTTGCGACTCAATAAAAATGACCTCTAGGTTATCCATCTTTGTATACAGTTTACTAGTTTCTGTAATAGCTTATAGCTGTGAGTAGCTATTATATAGGCACTCAACTATAGGACAGTGTTGGGAATACAATACAGAGAAGGAATTTAAACAGAATAGTAAAAAAAGGTTTAAGGTCAACGAGATCCTTTTACAGGTAAATGCTTTGGAAAAAAACTACCTCTAAACTATCACATCAGATATAGTTCAAGGAGATGAAAAACCTGTTTGACAGTGTTTCGAAGAGCCTGAGTGAGAGGAAGGATCAAAGGGTAGAACTCGTTTAGAGAGAGAGAGGGAGAATGTAAGGATTGATTTTGATTTGTCACAATTTTCAGGTAAAAAAAAAATCGATATTGATTTTACAGAATTTCCAGAGGAGAAAAGAACTTAGTTCACATTTTCACCGATAGGTGGCGCCACCAAGTAGTAATGAAAAGGGACCTTCTTCGTATATTTACTATAATAAGTTCTCTTTGCATTCATCTTATACTTTTATTCATTGATTGCACATCCTATATATAAATATAGGTAACTCTACTCTTGAAGGATATGATTATGGTAAATATCAGAAACTAAAACCATATATATTTTTATAAATTATTTTATTTCAACATGATCATGGTAAATATCAGAAACTGAAACCATTTATTTTCCCAAAACAATATGAAAAAATATTTATTTTGAACATGATCATGGTAAATATCAGAAACTGAAACCATTTATTTGAAAACCACATGTTGCTGAGAATAGGGTTGTTGAATCAAATATCATGTTTCACATCCTTAAGCAACATGTTGCGAATTTAGGATTTACTCGCAACACGTAGAAGGGACCATTTCATTACTACTTGGTGGCGCCACCTATCGGTGAAAATGTGAACTAAGTTCTTTTCTCCTCTGGAAATTCTGTAAAATCAATATCGATTTTTTTTTTACCTGAAAATTGTGACAAATCAAAATCAATCCTTACATTCTCCCTCTCTCTCTCTCTAAACGAGTTCTACCCTTTGATCCTTCCTCTCACTCAGGCTCTTCGAAAACACTGTCAAACAGGTTTTTCATCTCCTTGAACTATATCTGATGTGATAGTTTAGAGGTAGTTTTTTTCCAAAGCATTTACCTGTAAAAGGATCTCGTTGACCTTAAACCTTTTTTTACTATTCTGTTTAAATTCCTTCTCTGTATTGTATTCCCAACACTGTCCTATAGTTGAGTGCCTATATAATAGCTACTTCTACCGTGGCGGGGCTTGGGGGGATGAAAAGTTTCTTTTAATTTCACACACAATCAATTTGTGTTTATTAGCTCATTATAAACATTTTAGAGCTGCTTCGGCCACCGGCCCATGATGACACTTAGCAGTCCCAGCACGTGGGTCGTATACTTAATTTGTTTAGTCAACGAAGCAAATCATTGACCAGGAGAAGACTCCTTCACCGAGGGCTGGCCACCATCGTGCGTCCTGCAAGACGTGCGTGAAATGGTTAAAGATTTATGGAGAGGCTCAAACAAATTTTATAATTCGTACAACAACCAAAAGCAAAACCGAAATCGAAACTACAAAGTGCACTAATTTGAGGTGTTGAAACGACAGGCACACGCCCCGCCCAAGGAGATCCATAGCAGTCGCAGCCACAGCCACAGCCACAGGCGTTTGATGTTCACCGAAGGGTTGAAAGGTGGCATAATCAAATCAAGGATGGAGCCACCGAAAGGCCGAAAAAGGTTTATTTGTTTGACCCGCAAATCTCTTTGTGTGGCCCGTTTTGAGGTCGACTCTCGGCTGACACCTTATTTGGCATTCGGAGCACACATCCACACAACTTGAACGGGGATTTCGGATTGCAGATCCGCAGTGGGTTCGAGCTGCTTATTAACTGTCACTTGCTATAATTTAAATAAATAATTCCATGCGCCTGTCAACTGGTTGGCTGTTGGAGGCCTCATATTCTTTTTTAATAAGTATGCAAATGCCACTTCCACGGAGTGGAAGGAATTTTCGCTCGAGTTTTGTTTTCCAAATTTCGTGTAATTTGAGTTTGAATGTCTTGTGTTTTTCTTTTCGGTTGAAGTTGTGTCTAGACGTCTTAAGCGCGTCAGAGATTATGTGAAATTCACAAGCGCCTCTTGGCCGCCATCAAAAGAAGGTATAAGGGTATGAGAACTTTGTTTCGGGATTAAAGATGCCACAACGTGGCTTAACAAGGTCAGGATTTGTTCAAAAATTTAACTCAATTTAAACACACAAAGCTATTAATAGATAAATATTTGATACTCTTATTGATGCGATAGAGAATCGATTTAAATCATAATTTAATTGAGTATTAAAAGCTCATATTCCATAAGCCTCATAATATTATCTCGCTCCTTTCTTTAGCCGACTTTCATTCAGCAAATTGAATTTGTTGCTGTTCAAGGGGGAGGAAAACAACGTGTAAATGCCATAAACTGGCAGCTGAAGGAGAGGAGGAAAAGCAGCAGCGGTGGAAAGTGCTGCTGGTGGGATAAAGTGCTGGCAATTTGCTGCAGCGGAAAATGCCAGCCGAATGTGTACTCGTATTGCGGGTAGATAGCTGTAATCCAAGGATCCCTTTCGCTGTCCCTGTCCCACTTTGGCTGCCGCTACTGCTGCTGCTCCTGCTGCTGTTTTATATTAAGTTAATTACTGCGCGAAGCTGGCATAATTTGCTACCTATGCATGCCTTTTGCTTATTGCATTTTTATATGGCATATTCGCCGGATAAATGTACAGATATTCGCCAGCAGGAGTACATGCATATACATACATACATTTATATATCTGTCTGCCCGCTGGTCGCCATCGCCATCGCCGTCGCCGGCAATGGCCGCTTACTTAAGCTAAAAGCTTTTGTGTATAAATTTTAATTAAAATGCAACAATTAAATGCACAGCGTTCTGGCCAGACTCGACTCGACGCTCGTTCTCGTTCTCATTCTCGTTTTCGTTCTGGTTCCTGTTTCCCGTTTCAGTAGCGGCTTCTGCTTCGTCCTGTCCTCCTGCGGCCATGCGTGTAAGTTGTAGTTACAGCGGCAGACGATGCATAAACCAGTGTTAAGCTCAAATTAATGACATTAATTTATGTCCACGCCCAGCCACTTTCCAGCCCCCACTTTCCTTCCAACCAACTCCGCCCCCACCCCGCGAAAAGAGCCTCCTCATTGCGTTTTAATAAGTTAACAAAAATGTATTGCCTGCTTTTCAGCGCCCGCTAATTTGTATTTCGTAATTGAAAATGCTCACGCCAGCCATCGAGCCATCGCCATCCATCGAAAGCCAGAGAGCCTGCGTTTCAGCGGCGTGGCAGCCACTTGAATATCGACGGCGGGCACACTGTAATCAGTACTACTTAAAGCCAATTAGCCGCAAATATGCCCGGTAAGCCACCCATTTCCGGGACCACCGCACCCCACCCCTGTACCCAGGGGTCTGCCTCTGGATCGCACTTGTTACCCAATGGATCCCCCCTGGATCCCAACGGGTTGACTCTGTCAATGGCGCATGAAACGCGTTTTGTTCGCATTTGGTTCGGACCACGCCTTTCTGTCCACGTTTGCGGTTTGCTTGGGTGCTGGCAATTTTGTGATACTCGTATGTGTGTCCCTCGAACCGTTCCGTTCTGTTCCGCTTCAACATTGTGCAAATGCCAAACTGCTTTCCCTCTGCCTGTACCCCCTCCGTGTCTGCCCCTTGTATCTCGTGAGTGTGTCATGTGTGTGTGTGTAAATAATTGGCAACATTTGCGCTGCCCACACACTCACACTATGACACTCACGGACAAAGCCACGCCCCGTTAGATACCGCTGAAAATTGCACAACGAAATGAAATTTGCAAACGCACAAAAGGTGTTGACAATTATTTGCATAACAAAGCAAATTCCTGCCCTTCCCCTTACACCCACCAATGCACCCGTGACAAAATCAACATTTGAAATTTAAACTTTAAGTTTTGTTGAATTTTGCTGAGTGTTTGCCGGAATAGTGATCAATGTTTCAGCTGCCCAAAGGAGAGTGAGTGGTCGGTCCCGTCCCTCTACAACGTGCACCGAAAACCACTTTGTTTGATGTGAGACTGCCATGCAGGTGGCCAGAGACCTGCCTGCTCCTCGCCTAACCGCAGAGAGGCGACGCTGATTAAAGACGCCCCAAGGACCGAAAGTGTGTAAAAATAGTCTGAAAGCCTAAACCAGAGAAGCTCAAATGGCGCGAAGAGCATCCCCCGAAGGATGGAAACAACGTGAACATTGGCAGATTAATGGCGTGTAGCGTTAAGTGAATCAATTTGGTTTATGTGCAGAATTCTGCTCTGGAACAAAACAAAGATACAATCTGTGTATTCAGGGCG